ATTTCTCCGATCACAAATGCAGACATGGTTTTATGTTTATGCGCGCGATGCAATGCAATGCGTAAAAAGACAGCACAAGTCATTATAATCCGTAATTATGTCCCCACTGGATGCAACAAATGCCTCGTTTATAATGGGTTTTAATGTTTTTGTCTCGTTGCTCCGGCCGGGACACGGCATCACAGAATGGTAAGGGGTGTAACATTTCCGTCACACGCTTGAGGTAGTCGGCCAATCACAATGCACTGGATAGCTGGCCAATCAGAGCACACCTCGCTTTTCAGATCGATGAGCTTTGTAAAAATCGACGCGTTTCAGAAAGGTGGGGCATAGAAGAGAAACGATAATGTACAGTATGTGGAAAATAATGTATTTTTTTAACCTTAAACCGCATAAACACATTTCATTACACCAAATACACAAAATAATGTTCTTTTTAGCAACATCATATTCAGAGTCATCAAAGTTCTTTAATGACAACTTTCAACCCACTGAAAAATAAGAAGCAATATTAAGTCACAGATGCATTTTTATTTATTCTTATTATTCTTGAAATAAGTTATAATTACCTTGATGATTTTCAGTCTCTGAAATAGAAAAGTTCTATCAATTATGGATGGCATCATACATACATATGTAACAATATTTAATAAGAGTTCTAACACCGTGTCTACACCGGACGGCACAAGATGTTAAAAAGTTAAACATTTTGATTCATAAATACGCACAACATCTGAAAATGCACAAAGGTGAGAAGAAAGCAATGTGTTTAATGAGAACTTTCAACCCACTGAAAAATAAGCAATATTAAGTCAGATGCATTTTTATTTATTCTTGTTATTCTTATTATTCTTGAAATAAGTTATAATTACCTTGTGGTTTATTGATGATTTTCAGTCTCTGAAATAAAAAAGTTCAATCAATTATGGATGGCATCATACATACATCATGTGTAACGATCTTTAATATAAGTTCTAACACCGTGTCTACAACGGACGGCGCAACAAAATACAATAGAACCTATTATAATCAGTGATGCTGTTTACACTTGATGCAGCGCGGCGCGACATAACAAATCCCTGACAGTAAACTGATGCCTCGTTCTATTTATGATGTTCTGACAAAGTTCAAATAATTTTTAAGTCACTTTGTCGCATCCAGTGTAAACGGTATGAAAGTGTGTAGCTTGGAGATAGAGAATGGGAATCTACGTCACTGTGCATTGCATTCTGGGTATACAATACAAATCACCAGAGGAAAAAATGACTATGTTAATATTTTTAAGAGCTTCTTGGATTTTATTAGAATAAATGGATTAATATTCGAATCCCTTTTGTTATTTAAGATTTTTATGTTTTTGAAATAAGTCTCTTATGTTCACCAAGAAAACTGCATTTATTTGATCATATATAAAAACAGTAATGTTGTGAAATATTATTATTATTTAAAATAACATATAATAATAATATAATAAAATATATTTCTGTGAATATATTGTAAAATGTAACTTATTCTTGTTTTCACAAAGCATGATTTCTGAAGGATCATGTGACACTGAAGACAGGCGTAATGATGCTGAAAATTCAGCTTTGATCACTTTTTAAAACATACTGAAATTGAAAATAGTTATTAAAATATGATAATTTCACAATATTACTGTTTTACTGTATTTTAATCAAATAAATGCAGCAGTGGTGAGCATAAAAGACTTCTTTCAAACACATGACAAATCTGACCCTTAACCTATAGGCAGTGTATGTTTGAGGTATTACTTACTAGTCATATGGTTCATAATGTCTAGATATGTTCTTCGACAGGAGATACACTCCAACTCTAGTGCACAGCCGTCAGCATGGAAGAATCTAGCAACATGAACAATCTGTCAGAGTCAACAATATTTATTATACAATGCCATTGCCAGGTTTATTATACAAACCCGATTCCAAAAAAGTTGGGTGTTTTAAACATAAAACAACTAACATTTTGGTAACGTGTTTATTCAGACAAGGTCTAAGCCAGAGTTCATTTCAGCTACAAACCCGATTCCAAAAAAGTTGGGACACTGTACAAAAATTGTGAATAAAAACAATGCAATGATGTGGAAGTTTCAAATTTCAATATTTTATTCAGAATACAACATAGATGACATATCAAATGTTTAAACTGAGAAAATGTATCATTTTAAGGGAAAAATAAGTTGATTTTAAATTTCATGGCATCAACACATCTCAAAAAAGTTGGGACAAGGCCATGTTTACCACTGTGTGGCATCCCCTCTTCTTTTTATAACAGTCTGCAAACGTCTGGGGACTGAGGAGACAAGTTGCTCAAGTTTAGGAAAAGGAATGTTGTCCCATTCTTGTCTAATACAGGCTTCTAGTTGCTCAACTGTCTTAGGTCTTCTTTGTCGCATCTTCCTCTTTATGATGCGCCAAATGTTTTCTATGGGTGAAAGATCTGGACTGCAGGCTGGCCATTTCAGTACCCGGATCCTTCTACGCAGCCATGATGTTGTAATTGATGCAGTATGTGGTCTGGCATTGACATGTTGGAAAATGCAAGGTCTTCCCTGAAAGAGACAACGTCTGGATGGGAGCATATGTTGTTCTAGAACTTGGATATACCTTTCAGCATTGATGGTGCCTGTCCAGATGTGTAAGCTGCCCATGCCACACGCACTCATGCAACCCCATACCATCAGAGATGCAGGCTTCTGAACGGAGCGCTGATAACAACTTGGGTTGTCCTTGTCCTCTTTAGTCCGGATGACATGGCGTCCCAGTTTTCCAAAAAGAACTTCAAATTTTGATTCGTCTGACCACAGAACAGTTTTCCACTTTGCCACAGTCCATTTTAAATGAGCCTTGGCCCAGAGAAAACACCTGCGCTTCTGGATCATGTTTAGATATGGCTTCTTTTTTGACCTATAGAGTTTTAGCCGGCAACGGCGAATGGCACGGTGGATTGTGTTCACCGACAATGTTTTCTGGAAGTATTCCTGAGCCCATGTTGTGATTTCCATTACAGTAGCATTCCTGTATGTGATGCAGTGCCGTCTAAGGGCCCGAAGATCACGGGCATCCAGTATGGTTTTCCGGCCTTGACCCTTACGCACAGAGATTGTTCCAGATTCTCTGAATCTTTGGATAATATTATGCACTGTAGATGATGATGATAACTTCAAACTCTTTGTAATTTTTCTCTGAGAAACTTTTTCTTTTCTGACGCTTACTACCTCTATAAAGTAGTATAAGCAGAGCAGTGCTTTTGTACTGTACTAACCAAGGAAACATTATATCACTGCTGTTTCATAAGCACCACCTGCTGTCAGAAAATTAATTTGCATATTCATTCAGTCCATCTGGTTTTGTGCAGGTGTCTAATGTAGCATAATATCACAAAGTTAAAGTTAGACCATTCTTTCATTTCATTTTGTTTGAATCATGATTGAAATGCAGTGGTTGCCTACAAAAATTATTTTTCTTTTTTTTTTGGTTTGGCCTGTTATAGAGCAAATGTACAAAAAACCGTTCAACAAAATTTGCTTAAATAAAAATAAAATCAGCAACCGGTATCGAATCGGCCAATTTTGCTTGGAGAGGGGAGAAAGAAAAAAAAAACTGAATCGGATATGGAAAAAAATCATGATTGGTAAAAAACAAAAAACATGAACCGTTTTCAGTTCTCTACAAGACATGGTGGTGTTTTAAAGGGGTCATTGGATGCCCATTTTACACAAGTTGATATGATTTTTAGGGTCTTGTCTACATCTGCTCTAGTGTCGAAACAATGGCGGACTGATGACAGCTAACACAGGGCGGGTCTAAGGTAAAACGCTAGTGTCAATCAACAATTGTGGGCGTGGCCTGGGTCTGTGTGACGAGAAGACACGGACAAGAAGCTGAAAATGGCTTGATTTGTGAAAGGGGTAATGATTTTAGGAGATAAAAAAAAAACACTGGGTGGATTTTTATCATTATAGGGTGGTTGTGTACAAGGATTTTAAATGCACGACGTGGAGGCAAACAACCACCTGACACGAAGCTCGTTTAAAATCCTTTAATGCACGGCTAGCTGTTGATTATCCCGCTTATTCCATGGTCATTTGCCAAGTTGTAGACAAGTTAAAACTAGTTTTGCTCTTTACAGCGCAATACTTGGCCGGAAAAGTAAAAATGACGGTTATTTTCGTCAGTTATGGTTCATTAGCGCTAGCATTCTGCCAAAGTAAAAATGACGGTTATTTTCGTCAGTTATGGTTCATTAGCGCTAGCATTCTGCCCGCTTCAAATCAGACACAGAGATGAAATAGTGCAGTAAGATCACATTTATTTGAATGAATTCTCTATTGAAAGAGAGAGATGCAACTGTGTGTGTGTTACCTGCGTCTGCGCGTCTCTCTACAAACAATCAAGTCATGTTCAGTTACTTCAAAAATAGCGAGTTTGCCATACCTCGCTGCTGAGGAATATAATGTATAATGTATTTTATTTTTTGACCTACAGAGCAAGAAATGATTTGTATACAGCAGAGAGATTTCATTTTGGGACAACTGTTTTTTTTCTTTCAGTATATTTGGTGTTTGACATCATAGAAAAGGGTTGAAATGTTTATGAAGTATGCCACACAATTTATGCTGTAGTGAGAATATTTATAATAATAATAATAATAATGTTTTATTTATATAGCGCCTTTCAAAAACTCAAGGATGATTTACATAAAGTTGATAGATAACATGAACACAAATACAAATATAGTCACGTGATCAAACAAATAAAGCAGGTATTTGGTTATAAGCTTATCCCCTTATCCTACTTGAGAAGAAAATTAGGCTAACAGATTGTTCTGAAAACATTTTGATGGGAAAATTATATTTGCATCTATTATGCTGCATAAAACTGATTATTATTATTATTATTACAACAAAAATTGTTGTTTGTCATTTCTCTGATCACGGATGCAGACATGGTTTTATGTTTACACGGCGAGATGCAACGCAACGCGTAAAAAGACAGTATAAGTCATTATAATCCATAATTATGTCCC